ACAGAAAAACAAAAAAGGTATTTGTATTTAAGCAAAACATAATCAAGACAAGCCGGTACCGGTATGAAATTTGTATACCGGTGGCCGGTACCGGTATCGCAATTTTGATACCGGTTACACCCCTGGCCCGAAGAGAAAGCCGAAAAACCATCTTAGTTGAACAAATTCTTCCAGAACTTGACCATTAACGTTTAATTTGTTTAAATGAATATTCTATTCGGTAAAAAAACAGTGTTTTGTTTTTGTCAAGCAGTCGTATTGTGAACGGGATAACTCAAAAACTAGACGATGTCCTTTTCCGAAAAATAGTCTATCTTAAAGTCCGAGTCTAGTACTCTGCATTCGTTAAAAATTGAAGGAAGGATTGCCTTTTAAATTAAGGCTATTTTAGTTAGCTAACTTGTGCGGAAATCAGGAACATTTCTAGTGTATCGTTTTGTTTTCTATGAAAAGAAAAAAATCTTCATAATGCGATAAAATAGATTATTTGATTTGAAAACATATATAAATACATATATATGTGTAACTTATATTTATAAACAGAACGACTGCATTTTCAGCTTTAAATTGTGTTAAATTGTGTAACCGATAATAAAAAATAAACTTTTGTTCTATTCTGTACATAGAAATGTATCCGGTTTCTTTCATTCAGTGAAACCAGAGAAAGAAAAAGAAAAGAGAATCATACTGATCCATATATCTACGCGAAGACTGTGGTCTACGTCTACGTTCACGCGTAGACTTATTTTTGACGGCTTCCCTAAACGAAAGAGATAAATGTAAATATGAATTTTTTGATTCACAAGGAACAGTCTTATTGTCTTGCCTTTCTTATTTGAATCCATTTTTATGTAGATGTCGGCCTTTTCTACTGCTTTATCGATAGTTCTTGAAAGACGTAATAGCTGCGATTGTTCGTCAGAAAGCGTGAAAAAACAATGTCCGATCTATTCACCTGTGAAGTGGTGTGTTTTCTCGAGTAAAAAAGCTTCAGGCACGCTTAAAATATTGTGAAAATTAAAAAGGTTCTCCACAATTATCCCAACTCATTATAACACGTCAATTGCTCACAAATGTGTTTTTTTGTTTTATTAAAAGCAAACCGTCGAAGTCAAAAATGAATCGAACAGATGAATAAATGAAATGTTGTTTCTTTTTCCTCGGTGTTTCGTTACCTTCATAGCCACTCGATCAGCTCTAAGACGTCGAGGAATGAGAGTTTTTTATCCTTTTCTAATTCTAACGTGAATTTTAAATTTTTATTTTTGTTAAAAACGTATAAACTTACACCATAACATAATTCTTCAAATCAAAAAAATGCAAAAAATATAAAACAAATCGAGAAAAGGAATTCAAGGGCTTCTAGAAAAATACATTTTTTTTTTGCAAACATTCTTATGTACTTACTTTTTCTTTCTACTCTCTGTTCACAACTTTTTCACATACTATAACTTATATAAGCACGTAAACAAAGCGGCGTGTATAAATTTCATACTCTACTTCTTGATGTCTAGTGAAATAATCAGTCGTTCTTGTTTTAAAATTAAACAGCAAGATCATATTACAAATGAAGAACTAACATTACTCTTTAATGATATTGTTCAAGAATTAAGCAAATTGAAATCTGAGACTAGTAAAGATTCATTTATCAGAGCCATAAGTGAAATAATTAGTTTACTAGAAAATGAAGATACAGAAAAAGTTTGTAAATCGTGTATGTTCAACCATGAAGTGTTTGTTTTGATTCGTGATGCTTTAATTATTTTATTCAACAAATGGCGTACTAATGAAACTCTAAATGAACAAGAAATAGTTTTATTGCAAAAAACGAGTGAGATATTTTGGAATATGATACAGAAGATTACTGATACAAATGTTGTAGTTTTTAAAACACTGCTGTTAAATGAATCTTTTATTGAATCAATTAAATTATGTGTCGATGATATAACAGCAAATGGTAAACAATCAGATGATCACATTTTATCAGTGCTTGATACTATGATTTGGGTGTTGGGAAAGCTGATGAATGACCGAAAAGAAGTACAGGATGATCCAACATTGTTAACTTTATTAGATTCGATCGTGAAATGTATCTGTTCTGCTCGCTATTTAGATACATTTAAACAACTTTGTCCTGAAGATAGTGAAGTTACCGTTACAACACAATTTCTATTAGTGACATGTCCACATTACGTTATTTATTATTATGATGGTGAACGTATGGAAGAAATAGTAAGTTTAATGCGTCAAACAAAATTTGATCATTATTTAGAAATATTTGGACAATTTATGCAATCAATTGAAAAATGGAATAGTTCATTAATTAAAGCTATGAGTTATGCAACCGGAATTCTACAATATATATCTGCTGGTGAAGTACAACGACAAAAATATTTAGATTTACATTTGAAATTAATGGACTATATAATTGTTATACTAAAATCACCAAATATAAACGAACTCTTAAAGGGATACGTTACTACGGCTTTATCCCGCTTGATATACACAGCTATAGTTTATTTATTTGGTTTAAGCATCGATCCAACATTTTTAACAATTATCAAAGAAAACGAATTAGCCCAAACATTTTTAACGTTAACGGAGGCCAACGACGACATGATACAAGTAAATACTTATCGTCTTTTAGCAATGATACTGGACGAAAATGAGATTAAGACTTTAGCAAACCCAGCCAAAATAACACGAGTGTTTCGTGATTATATCGAAATGTTTATCGACAATATGCTACGTAAAATGGTACTACAGAATACCTTGCTAAGTTTGAAAAGTAGGTATTTTAAAATGATTTCAGTGGAAAAGTCAGTAAATACATTACTGTTGTCAATTCAACATTGTTTTTAGCTTCCAGAACATGGAAAAGTGGAAATTGTGTATTAGAGATAGGGGAGCCCGGTTTTTCCGTTTGCCTCTGCGCCGTCCTGAAGAGTTCTCTTCATTCACGAACCGCTCTTCGATGAAAATAACAAAACTTTTTTTGACGAAATAAGGCGATGTTCATTTTGTCCCCTTACCGTTCCGTCGCTTTTGGAAAACGAATCTCCCCGGAAGAGTTGTCGAGCCTGACTTGCATCCTTGTGTCCGCTTTTGTCCATAAATTTTCAAAATAAGAGCAGAAAAAGAGCTCCAGGCGTATACGTATTTAAGCGACACTCTCACATCTAAATCTGTTTCCGAGATAAACTATCCGATGTTAATGAATTTGCCAGAGAGTCTTATCCCAAGTAAAAAATCTTGACTGCAGATCTTGATAAAAACTTGAAAGATTTCGGAAGTTTCTGTTCAGTTCTTTCAAGATCTTATGCAGATTTATCGATATCTGTCAAGATTCTGAGATCATCTT